GGGAAAAAATGTGGGACCGTGCCGTGTAATTCTACCTACCTACCTACAAAAAAAGAAAAAAAATGAGATTCCAAGCACGAAAAAATGAACTTCCAACCACCCACGGCCCGAGCCCGAGTCGAACAGGTAACCTGCTCCGAGTCTTCACTCCTTCTCTTTCCTCACTATGTATGGTGTGACAGTGCAGCAGCGGACCCCTCCGCTCTCGAGCTGTGTTTACGGTGTGTTGCAGGTGGTTTTAGTCACTTACAAGGATGTTTGTGGATTGTACAGTGTACAGTGTATGGATGCAACTAAAGACCAAGTGGTTGATTAATCCCGTGTAACTACTAATCATCTCCCGTGCAACTAATGATCTCCCGCAACAAACTACTCCCCTACTCATAATACGAATCCTAAACCTCATCAATCCTGACCCTCAACCTCTTTAATCCTGACCCTCAACCTCATCAGATTCGAATTGGGGGCAAAAACAAGAACGAGACAGAGGAAAAAAGGAAACCTACGAACAAACCTACGGCCCGAGCCCGAGTCGAACGGGTAACCCTGCTATTAGGGTTATTCACACTTCCCTTTTCTCTGCCCTTTTTCCTTCCCTTTTTGTTCCCTTTTCCCCACTGAACCAGAACAAGAATGTACAATATATTTACATTGATTCGAGCACAATTTGACAGCAGCACTACACTGGGTACCTCTCACCCTTGTAGGTCAGTTAGTGGGCAATTAGACACTACCAATACCAGCAAGAATGAAAAAAAGGACAACAAAAAGGAAGCAAAAAAGGGAAATCCGGAGGGGGGTTTCACAGTTCTCCCTTTTTCTTTCCCTTTTTCGTTTCACCAATCTCCCAATTCAATGAGTTCTGCACCTAGGGTCGTTGTTTCTTCCCTTTTCTACCCTTTTTACATCCCTAAGTTGAAAAGGGAAAAAAAATCCAGAAAAAAACCAAAGGAAAACAAAAAGTAGGAAAAAAGGGAAAGAAAAAGGGAAGAAAAAAGGAGAACTGTGAACGACCCTATTCACTCCTTCTGTGTTTCAGCATGATGTGCAGGTGTGGAGCGCTGCGCTCTCGGGTTGTATTTACAGTGTGTTGTAGGTGGGTTTGTGGGAGAGTTTTCAGCGAGAGGCATACACACACAGGTAGGCTGATTAATATTTATATTCATCTCCCACAACCTCTCAAGCTTTCTAGCATTCTCTCAGCTATCTCGAATCCTAACCGAAGTTGAACCCCCCGATTACTTTGGCTAGCGAAAAAAAACAGGAACAAGAAAGAAAATCCGTGGTTAACATCCCCACGGCCCGAGCCCGAGTCGAACGGGTAACTCTGCTATTCACTCCTTCTGTTTTCTAGCATAATGTGCAGGTGCGGACCCCTCCGCTCTCGAGCCGTATTCATTGTGTGTTGGAGGTGGTTGTGTTGGAGAGGTCTCAATCAACAGAGTGTGGAGAAATACACCAGGCTCCTTAATACTAATTTTCCGCCACCAACCCTGGTTCACATCTCATACTTGTGCCATTCCGATTTGAGGGGTAAAAACAGGAAGACAAAAAAGAAATCCTCAAACCTACTCATGGCTCGAGCCCGAGCCCGAGTTGAACGGGTAATCCTGCATTAACATATATTTCGTTCTCGGGAACAGTATGCAGGTGCGGACCTCTCCTCTCTCGAGCTATGATCATGCCGTGTTGAGGGTGGATTTGTGCGAGAGTTCTCAGTAAGAGAGGTGTAGAAATGCTGGTTAATTAATGATTTCTGCCAGGCAACCCGGACTGCTACTGGTTCACATGCGTCCCGAATCCCTAATTGAACCGCATATTAGTATTGGCTAGCAAAAAAGAAACAAGAACAAGAAATAAAATCCGTGGTTAACATCCCCACAGCCCGAGCCCGAGTCGAACAGGTAACTCTGCTATTCACTCCTTCTGTTTTCTAGCATAGTGTGCAGGTGCGGACCCCTCCGCTCTCGAGCCGTATTTACTGTGTTGAAGGTGGGTTTGTGCAAGAGTTTTCAGCCAGAGGAATGCACTTCAAACAGACCTAAACCAGGCTCATATTAATAATCTCCCAACACACCAACGAAAACAGATTCTCTATATCAAATTCTATGCTACACCCCCACCCACCTGAGAAAAATCCTGAATCCCTTCCTGAACTGAATCACAGGCAAAAGATGGGGAAAAAAGGACAAAAGAGAAGTTCTATATTACTCCCCGAGCCCGAGTCGAACGGGAAGCCCTGCTCTTTATTCTTACTGTTCTGTTTTTTAATATGTGCAGGAGCGGAGCCCTCCGCTCTCGAGCCATATCTACACTGTGTTGTAGCTGATTTTGTGCGAGAGTTTTCAGCCAGTCGAAATAGAGCTACAGAACGAGAGGGTGCTTGATAATGCCTCGCAGCCCAACCTGACTCATATCCCAAACTTGATAACATGTTCTCAATCATCTCAAATCCCTATCCAGACTCTCAAGCCCCTATTGGTTTGGCTGGCAACAACCAGAAGAAGAAAAAAATACGTGGATGACATCCCCACGGCCCGAGCCCGAGTCGAACAGGCAAACCTGCATTCAACCTGGGAATTTTACCTCCACAGGATTCAGGTGCGGTCCCTCTGCCCTCCAGCTGTATTTAGGGTTTGTGGGAGTGTTCAGTGAGACTGTTGAGTTGAAATGCACCTACATACATACAGAACCAGATGACACTAATTTTGATAATCTCCTGCAGCAAAAAAACAGATTCACACATATCAAATGCTACACCACACCTCCACCCATCTGTAAAAAATCCTGAATCCCTACCTGAACTGAATCACAGGCAAAAGATAGGGAAAAGAGGACAAAAACACTGCCCTACTTTACTGCCCGAGCCCGAATCGAACGGGTACTCCTGCTGGTCAGAGGCTTTCTTCCTAATGATGTGCAGGTGCGGACCCCTCCGCCCTCGAGCCGTGTTTACAGTGTGTTGAAGGTGGGTTTGTGGGAGAGTTTTTAGTGAATGGCCTATGTAAAAATACAGCTTCAGAACCAATTTCTGGTTAACAACGATCTCATGTAGCCAGGAATCCACACAGGGGGCATTTGTCACAGCTTATGGATCCATAAGCGGCAAACACTTATGCCCCGCTTATTGCAGGCTTATTGCCTCATGCCGCACACGTGCCATTGCCGGTCCGGATCAGTAAAGCAATCAAAAGATCAAAAATGGTGTTTGAACTGAGCGAACCTTGGAGCTTCACCAATCCACCAGATCAAGGCTTAAGTAAGACAGAAGTCAGTTTGTTGCTGCTTAATTTGTGACAGTTTTCCGGCCAGGTGATATGCTCCTGGGGAAATGCTTTGTTTATGAGAATGAATCCATCTGCTTGAACACAGACAAAAGCTGCTGGAGTAACCGGGCAGTACAAGCTGAGCAATGGGGAAAAAGCAATGACAATAATCACAGATTCTATCTCCAATCGTGTAGTTACAGACTCTTCTTTCATGTAGTTCAACATCCGTGCGATACCAAATTTCCGCATATGGATGATGATCAGAGCCATCAAATAAGCGTGCAATAAGCGGAACATAATTGTTTGCCGCTTATGGATTCATAAGCGGTGGCAAATGCCCCCTGTGCCAGGACCGATTCAAGTATATATTGAATTTGTGCCATGGCCATGCTCATTGCTTTGAATCTGACTGCCAATTTCCAGAGGAAATCTCCCTAGCAATCAAACCGTGACTCCGGGTCGCAAAATTCAACCATGCCATTAGGGTTATTCAGAGTAGCCAGGTTCACGCTCATTTCGACTCTATTTCAATCTCATTTCGTTTCCGTTTCGCCGCATGCGTGACCGGCATTATCCGAATTTCGCGAAATGATCATTTCACAATCACGATCCATCCCTGACTTGGCAGGCAAAAACCAGAGAAAGAGTAAAAGGAAGACTCATAATAACTTCTCACGGCGCTAGCCCGAGTCGAACGGGTAACCTGCTTTTCATTTTTCTCTTTTTGTTCTCTCATGGTGTGTAGGTGTGGACCTCTCCGCACTCAAGCCAGAGTTATGGTGTGTTGCAGGTGGTTTTGTGGGAGAGTTCTGAATGAGTTGTAGAGCACCTACCAAATGAGATGTTGATTAAGAATCTCGAAAACAACATCTCCAATCCTACACCTCAACTGGCTAGTGGCTGAAAAAGACAAGAACTTGAACAAGAAGACGAAAAGAAACCATATGCTGACATATAACCTGAATGGTTAATCCTGCATTGATATGCCCCTATTAGGTCCAATGAAAAGTATACAGATGCAGACCTCTCCACCCTCGAGCCATTCTTATGGTGTTGCAGGTGGCTTTTTGGCAGAGGTGTAAGAAATGCAGCTATACAATGAGAGGTTAGTTCACCGTTAACTGATGATCTCATGCAAGTCCCCAGCAATGAAATTCCGTGTCACCAAATTCAACTATGGTATTGAATTCAACAATGCTAGTACCTGGCCCACCACGTCCAGGTCCAAAGGCATTAACCTCTCTGTGTGTGTTTTCTATGACTGGACTGTAGAAATGATGCATCTAAAGAATGCCCCAGGTGGGGCTGAATAATAATCCCATGCAAGTCACATTGAGATATTACATCTTGGACCTGATGACTTACTCTGAGCTATACTGAATCCGAACCTCCAATTTGAACTGCAAAAAGAAAGGATTTACAGGTATTAGATCCTATGCTCTGCTTCCAGCTTCCAACTTATCCTTTATGCCCCTTCTGGCAAGCAGAAAACATGGATAAGCAGAAAACTAAAAGAAGTCTTGTTCCCTCAGTGCCCAAGCCCAAGTCAAACAAACTCTCAATGCGGAAGATGCAGGTGCAGAACCCGCCACATTGGGTAATGAGTACTAGTCTGATTTCTAGTGCAATCTAAAAGGACTAGTATATTGTGAAACCACACTGTTCGATGAGGATGGCCATTTTTGACGGTCACTCTCGGTCACCCTATGAACAGGTGGGTTGTCAAGTAATGACACTTTGGCCGAGTGGTTAAGGCGACACCCTGCTAATCCTGGCAGTTCTAGGTGTTGGGGTTTCCCCGCGTGTGTTCGAATCGCACAGGTGTCGGTTTTTGTTATCTTTCATTTCCGTTTCCCTTACTCCTTTTTGCCCCTTTCTTCTCTCTGTCTCCCCTAACACACTGGCAACAGTTGCCAATGCTCTCCCTTGCTCTATTTTTTGCTTCTCCTGGTTGAATCCTCATGGGTTACATGGTAAGTGGTGTATGAAGTGGTAGAGATGCAAGCAATTAAAATGAAAGCCATGCTATTTCATCAAATGGCACAGGTATGTAAGGAAGGATCGGAGCTGGGCACTGGGGGAGTGCTTTCACATTATTACACCTAACATGCTGAGCAGGAAAAGTGAACAAACAATCTGGCTGAAGGCAGAATATTGCAGTAAATATATTGAGCCATTTATGTAGCTTTCCCACATTGAATATAAATCAGTGTTGGGTATATGGTAATGCTATCTCCTGATTATCAGAATCTCTTGTTTAACTTATGCTTGCTGCTCCCTGACACCAAGCCTCAAACAAAAAGAAAGCAGAGGAAGATAAAAGAAATAAAAGGAATTAGCCCACCGCGAGGGTCGAACTCGCAGCCTTCAGATAACCCGCCTTAGACGTAAGAGTCTGACGCTCTATCCGATTGAGCTAGGCGGGCGTTCTGATGGCTCAAACTATCGCATTAGGGCCTCTGGCCATCTGTAATGGTAATATTCAATACCTCTATACCCATATACCTATGCGGTGGTGGTCTCCACGGTCACCTCTGTTTACCCGTCACATGTCCCCTCCTGGCGGGGTGGGCTATCAGATATATTCATTGTGGTAACATTACAGATGTATACCTACATTCCCCTGGGGATACACATTGGGATAGATCAGCAATATGATCGAATGGAACAGCAATTTTCCACTGTGTTACAGCCATTCTCACATGGTAAGAAAATATCCATTCCTCCTGATTGGGGATTTGCATTTCTCCATCGATCTATTGGGGATACACCCCATTCTGTCCAGACGAGGATTCCCAAAACGACTGATCGGACCCAATGGCAGACTGAAATTGCTGTTTTGGTCCATCGTGATATCAATTCTTCCATTCTTTCTGATCGAAGATTTTGGAGCTAGGTCCCAGAATTTATGTAATTGCAAACCAGATGCAGTGTAAATTCAATTCCCCATCAAGTAAACAAGATATACTTGGCTTCTGTGTTCAGTATCAATGTATTCTAAGCCCGTAGCAGCCGTATTTGCTCAAATGAATCGGGAGAGTTGAAAATTGATGTTGCTTGAAATAAAGGTTCAACACACTTCTGTTTCATTCAAGAGCCTTTATAGCAAATTTTAAAGTACCGTGTGTCCTCTACTACACACAAATCCCATAGGTGCTATCTCAAATGAGTGAACAGGCGGGGGTAAAACATATAATCCAGAAATCTCTGATTTGTTCTGTTTCTGGGCCAATTGGAAGGTGATTGAATCTTGACACAGACACTAGTTGAACATTTCAAGTTTTTCAGTGAAAAAATTGACAAAAAAATTGATGAATTTTGTTTTGAATATTTCCAAGGGGATCCCGATCTGTGAAATCCACACCATACCTTGAATTTTTTATTTTCAGGAGTTCGGGCGACCCCGTCCCATCGTCCATGACATCATACTTCCCATTTAGGGTGTAATTCCCACGATCCAAACAATGATTTATTCCCACGATCTGCACAACCCTTTTAATTTAATTTGTGTCTGTCTGCACAAGGCTCACATGCGCTCACAAATCCACCTCTATACCACTCAGGAACACAATCTGTGTGAAACTAGATCATATTTCAGTATGCAAATATGATTCCAGTGATTGAACACATACCCAGATTGCTTCGCACCCACGCTGCGCGCACTGAACTGTTAGCAAGTGGTCATCTCTCTCGGCTTCAGGGACTGGTTGACCACAGACATAACACCCCTATCTGCTTGCACTTACCACCACGTGTCTGTGATGTTCCAGTGGTCGAAACTTGAACATTTCCCACAGCGGAAGGTTGTGTCGCAACTTGAGCACCAGTCACAATCTAGGTGGAAGTCGAACTTTAAGCTGCCGGGGAAAAGGGTTGTACCGCAGGCGCTGGGGTCGAGATGACGATGCAGATGGTTGGAAAGGAAATGTGGTGGCCAGCGCTGGGTGAGTGTCATTAGTTTGAACTCTATGAGGTGTTGTAAAGTCAATTCTGGGAGCCCCGAACCGCTCTATTTCACAGTCAACATCATCATGCTCAACCGACCCGAGTGGCGGCAGAGGTTCCCACTCATCCATGTACTCCAATTTGCAATCATCCTCTGAGCCATATCCCTGTGTTGATTTGGGGATGGACTCAGGATTTGTGGTGCCAGCATCTGACTAAGAATCAGAAGCATAGCTGTCGTCATTTTCAAAGCAAGACTCTGAAATGTAGCTGCCCTCCGAATCAGATTGACAAACAATGAGATGTCTGTGTGCTCATGCAGCAAGCGTGCACGAGGCTGAATGAAGTTGTATATGAATATTTATCCTCGTCGGAATCGATGCGGCTCACCTGAGTGCATTAGCAAGAAGCATTCTGGGGAATGTCATGGATGGAGACAAGAAATTTGATGCTGATTGGTCACCAAAAATCATTGAGGGCTCCTGATAGCTCCTGATGGGGCTTGAGGCAAGCCTTTGAAACCCACACAATGAACAAATGTGAGTGAAAACAGCTGGAGAAAGACTCTTACGAGTCAAAACATCGAAAATAGCACCCAGAATCGAAATCGGAAATTTGGTATGAAACTTTTTTTTCAGGCAGACGGGGACCCCCGTCCCGTCGTCGATATATGGTAATTTCTTATCTTCACACCCCCTTGAATATTTCACCAAGTTTTCACTGAAAAAGTTGGTGAAAAACTTGAAACATTTTGGTTAGCGACGGTGCGAGGGCACCAACCAGGTACAGAGTTAAACCAATGCACAACAGCTGGAGGATATTTTGTGCATTGTTCAGTGCCTGCTTTCGATTTTGTGCTGGTATTTTCAACCCCCTGGTGCTGGCTTGCACATCTATCCCGATGCAAAGGAGAACACTTCCGTGGGCTTGCCGTCGCGACCTGTATGGCCAAGCATCTCCCCAAAGGATGTGGGAATATTCGCAAGGATGGCATGGCAAATATTGTGCATGTCGAAGTTGTACTTGGCTGTGTCTGTGGCATTGAGAACTCAGACACGCCTGGATTCAAAGTCCTCCTTCAAACACGCACAATATTAGTGTGATCCAAGAGAGTTGTACATTTTGATAAGGTTCTCTCGATGTGGGATCTCCTTTGGTGTGAGTGAGTTCAGAAATACCATAAGCTTGTCACCGAAAAAGATTGGATCGGCAAAGATGATGGTTGGCATGATTTGGATTGCAAAGCACATTCCGAGGGGGACAAAAAAGCTGAAATCAAGGAATTGTTTTGCAGAGATTGGGGGTTCAAGAAAGTGGGTAATGTAGGTGAGATTGGGACAATCCACCAAAGCTAGGGCATTTGTATATTGCCCCGAGTGAAAACCGAGTTTCTTTGCAATCTTGAGCTTCTGTTGGCGGTGCAGCCGATGTGGTCAAACTTCTGGGTCAAGTTTGGAGGAATAAAATAGATAGATAGGGTGCCTTGAAAAATCCTCCTGTTTGACCAAATGCACCTCATCCATGGATACCCAGTGGACCTGGTCCACGAAGTTCGTATCTTTGAGAAGTGCACTCATCTCTGTTTCATAGAGCATATTTGGCATCATAACCCCCATGCAAACATTGTCACCACCAGCAAGTTTTTTGAAGAGATCATGTCCAGTGAAATGTGCATCACGGATCATGTCTTGATTGATTGTGAGGGCACATAGATCACGACACAATGTGACTTTGGCCTCAAAACACATGTCTTAATTATTGCTGAATCAAATACTAGAGGATAGAGCTCACCTGTTGCTCCACAACACTTTCGTGGGCACAAGAAACAATGCTATGCCCTTTCCCCCCCGGGCATCAGCAGTGATGGCACCTGACAACAAGACAACTGTCTTCCCAGTCCCAGTCGCTGAGACACAGAAGACCTCCCGCTTTTTATCAATATCCACTGATAATTCCAGCTGGTATGGCCACAGTTTGGCCACTTTGCATCTCACCCGGAGGACTGAGTCCAGCCATTCCAAATGAGTTTGGACATATGGTATATTGCCAGGTTAGGGTAGCATTAGAACAAGCAGACTCAGAGGAGGCAGGGAGGTAGCAGAAAAAAAATTGATGCTGTTGTAATTGTCACTAGCTACAGAATACAGGCCCTATTCACTGTCTAACCGAGACATCCATGAACACTTTCTTCACCCAAAGATTATGCTGCTGCTGGACCAAATCTGCTTCCACCCAGTCTCTCCGAGTTTCCCTGCAGGTTCAGGATGCTTTCCCAGCACTGCAATGAATTATGAGGTAAGTTAATGCTAATCATTGTGGGGAATACAAGATGCTCAAACCATTTTGAGAGGTACTCAACCCATGGAGATTATAGCTCAGAGGCTTGAGTTGGGTTTCGGGTATTTCTCTGCAAGACGACATTACTTCATTGGAAGTAACAGTAGAGTTGGTTGATTGGTGGCTGCCGGACACATCCAAGTGCGTGTTTCTGATGTTCATTTCATCCCAGGACATGGCGGTTATAAACAGAAGGATTAAATCTGTTCTCAGACCCAGAGAAATGTGTGTTTGCAATGAGGCATGCACACCTCAATTGCTCTTCCCAATTGAGCGTTAAGTAGTCACATTGGGAAGCTGACATCATGCCGGGAGCAATCATAACTGATGGATGTCACTCCTCAGACCCCCCGGGGGTATAAGGCCATGACTATATATATATACACTATACCAGAGTTGAAGTGAACATATCACAGGTAGCAATGGCAGTCATTTCAACTGGGGGGTCAGTCTTGGTTTGATGCTCAAGATGGATCCGAAGCGATTCCAACAGCCTAGCTCACCTTTCACACCATAAAAGATATGACATAGGAGAACCTTCAGTAATCTCAAAGCTTCTTTCAAGATAAAAGATAACACAGCATCTTCCCAAATGTGGTCACAAGTCTCTTCATTGAAACAGAACAGAATATCTGGCAACTGGTCAAAGCACAGCAAAAAAATTGATTGACACACGGTTCATTATACGTGTTACAGAGACCAGAGTATTCTATCTCTGGCGCGGAAAAAAAGAATGGGCCTAACTGGGAATTGAACCCAGGACCTCCTCGAGACGAGCTATGCAACCCTAACAAGGAATCATACTACTAGACCATCAGGCCAATGAAAGGCATTACCATCACAGCATGGGGGCCCTGTCAGGACTACAATGATCAACTTAGCATCTGTGAAGGTGTTATCTCACTCAGGCAACAATATTGTTATGGAACCATTTTATGCACCTGACTACAGACATCCCACAGTATATCAATGGCCAGATGTCTGTCTGAATTCAGTACATCTGAACTATTAGTTGGATGTGCCTGTCCTCCAGAAATGGTCAAGGGAGGAAGATTCAGGCAAGAGTTTAGAAAACTGCTTGCATCAAAGAGATTTTCATGAGGAAAGATCAAAATATCCACTTCCACTCGGAGCAAGATTCAGG